CCTAACAATCAGTGCTGTATTATGTAAGTAATTAAAGCGTCGTTAAATAGATTATAAGTAAAGAAATAAACCCTTTACGAGTTTTTCCTCTGGGACGTGAGTTGCGCTTGCTACCTGCTTCGTGTCGGTTTCTTGCTGGACTTACCCTGAAAGTTGAAGTGGTCTGTTCCTCCGAAAGGTTGGTTGACTTTCGCCGAACTACAAGACGTTCCTTCATGAATTATTTATATTCACTACTGTGAGGTCCTCTCATCTTAATAAAAATTAATTTAGGTTTATTTCCCTTATCTGGTATGACCGAGGAAAAACACGAAAAGGAAAAACAAGTTTGTTAGTGTCCTGAACAGGTATCTCCCAAGTATAATCAATATATCATACAATGTGAAACTGCAAAGCAGTCATAGGTCGCAGATTCACTCAGTTGCACGCACACTCACCCACCCACCCACTCACTCACTCACTCACTCACTCACTCACTCACCAGCTTACGCACTGCAACTGGATCGTGTACTAATTCTTCTGAATGTGAACACACACCCACCACTGACTCACTCACTCACTCACTCACCAGTTCACGCACTGCAACTAGACCGTGTACTAATTCTTCTGAATGTGAACATTCACCCACTCACTCACTCACTGCAACTGGATCGTGTACTAATTCTTTTGAATGTGAACACTCACCCTCTTACTCACCAGCTTACGCACTGCAACTGGATCGTGTACAAATTCTTCTGAATATGAAAAATCACACTCACACACTCACTCACCAGTTCACGCACTGCAACTGGATCGTGTACGAATTCTTCTGAATGTGAACAAACACACAGCCGATTTGCTACACGTTGCCTACCAAATTTTTCCAGTCATCACAGTTTTCCTTCTCTTTCTGGGCATCTCTCTCAGATATGTCCAATTATGGTGATAATGGTGTTAAGGTTTTTGAGTAATGAATTGGTAAGGATGTGGAAGGAAGCTGCTACAGTCTAACCTTTTCCCACTCTTCCTACAATTCTGTGCAGTGAGTGAGGGACTCACTGAAACCTTGGTGACGAGTGCCCATATCCAGGTCGAGACAGGACTTTACTGGCAATAGGAGGAATATCAGAGTTTCAGAATAACTCCTTGTTGGCCACCCACTCCTCAAGATGCTATACAAGGGGTTCTAGGCTCCTTCTGCAGACTATATTTTATGTGAGCTTACACGAAGTTGAAGCCACATTTCATTACATACGAGTGCTTCCTGTCATGTTCATTCTCTGTTGGTATTGGCTGTTGAGAAACTCCTTCTTCCCTTGTTACACTTACCATTTCTTCCTATTCTTTTAGATGTTGCTACTTTCCTTTGGCACAAGTCCAGCAATCCTCTTCTCCTTGCTTTTTTTTTATATTTCGTCACGTCACTAGCTCCATAATTAACTCTTGTAAAAATTCCAAAACTTTCAAAACAGTCGCCACCATTTATCATAAGTAATTTAAATATCTGACATCGGTATTGTAAACGAAGTGGGAAGTACGTACCTATAAACTTCGCTTGAAGATATGGCTTATTGTACTTGCTTTTATATTTCTCATGATTATCCTCATTATTATTATTATTATTATTATTATTATTATTATTATTATTATTATTATTATTATTATTATTATCATCGGGGGTACGCGATAGCGTAGTTCGTTGAGTGGCTATGCTACAAGCCAGTAGGTCGCGGGGTCAGGTCCCGATCAGGTCATTGGATTTTTTTCAGTTGACCTAATCCTTCCAGCCGCACTATGGCCCTGCGGTCGACTAAGCCTCTAACAGAAATGAGTACCATGAATTAATTAAATAATTTTCCTTGGGAGTAAAGCGCGGCCGGCGCGTAAGGCTGACAACCTTACCGCCAACTGTGATCCGATTGTCTAGATAATGTGGGCCCCTCAACGTCTCACAACCCTATGGGCCTTCACGGCCTGGTACAGGAATAGCTTTACTTTTTTTTTTCCTCTTATACCTTTCGGTGGTGACGGCCTCGTCCACATTCACAACCAACACTAGTAGGAAGAGGAGAATCCTCTCGGTGTAATCCATTCTAAACACAGACAGCAGTTCAACATTAATATGTGGGTAGGAATAATTATTGACTGTTTGGTAGGCTCGAGTGTTCGTCACATCGGCTTTCAGACAACCACTGCGATTTCCTCTTATGATCTGCCAGAGCCACAGGAAGATGTACTACTGACAGTCAGAGTACGAATGTGGTACCTGCATGATGGTGCCCGGTACATTTTAGCAGTACTGTGCTGTGTGTCACATTGCGACTGACGGTCGGTCAGTCAGTCAGTCTTGGTGTCGAGCCCAAGCTGGGGCTCATGACCAGATATTTATTACTGTTTGACAGTTTCGGCCATGTTATTGTGGGGGGCCCTCTCTGACGAGAGGACAGGTCTGTCTTTGTCGGAGTCATTGTCTGCAGTAGTAAGTCATTTGTCATAATGTGAAGGATATTTACATTTTACATATTAATACATATATATAAAATATATACAGGCCTCTGTCAGTACAGGCTCAGTACAGCAGATTTTTTCCCTATTTCTAGTAGCTTCCGCTACAATGGCAGTCTAGTCACTTGAAAGGTTGTATGCTTGACTGCCGCCGAATTTAAGCCTCTTATACTTTCTATGTCGGGCTTCGCCGTGTACTCTCTTGGTCTGAGTCTGAGTCTGAGTCTGAGTCTCATTTTACGACCGACGGTCAGTCGGCCAGCCTGTCTTGGCATAAAGCACCCATCTGGGGCTTGCGACCAGAGCTTTATTACTGTTTGACAGTTACGGTCTTGTTTTTTTTTGGGGGGGGCGCTCTCTCTGATGAGAGGACGAGTCTGTCTTTTGTATATGCTGCTCACCCTTGCCAGTGCAGTTTTTCTCGGGTCCGAGTCCTTTGGTACTCGAGACACGGGGGGGGGGGTTATTCTAGGAAGCTTTTTAAACAGCCGCGGCACGGACCACACAGAAAACACGGTTCTGTTGTAAGAACCGTAGCGTAACCTAGCAACTTGTCACAGAGAACCCCGGTTTTATTGTTGCTCGGCGCGGACGACATAAAAAACACAGCCTCATCTATTGTTGCGTGTTGGGCCGTGTTTACATAGCTATCTGGCAACGCGTTCATCAAATCTGTTATGTTATTATTATTTATTTTAACTGCAAATGGTTTTTACTTGGTGGCATTGGCAGTACACTAAGGTACAACACGCAAATAACACACACTACGTTCAAATAAAACACAGAACACAAAACTATACAAACAATAAAGGACACACAACACACAACGAATACAATAGAGATACAGTTAAAACTACAATTATATAAATTAATTTTAATAAAAATAGGCATACTATACACTAAACAGAAACAGTAATGACTCATGTCATGAAATGATGCTCTCACATTCCACCATGACCTTCTCTTCATTCCATATGCAAATATTACCAACGTAGTACAATTCTGTTTGTCATGATGTTCATACCAAATTTCATGAATATCCATAGAAAACAAAGCCAGTGAGGGACTGGAACACGAACATACAGATATGACAGTGTAGAATATCGCTCCCTAGGAAGTAAGAAACAGAAGGACATAAGAAAAATTCACTGAATTTTGGTGCAGTGTTATAAATTTAAAGAACGCAATGTAGTGTACGAGAAGAATGTGTAGAGTGTAGAAGAATGACACAAATTCTCGCGTCGTTGTCTTCCCCGATATTTCTTCGAGTCCTATTTTTCTCCACTGAAATTCCCCATATCGAGTGTGACGAGAGGAAAGATGATTCGGCGTGCAACGTAGGCAACTTATCGAGCAGATCTGGCGTGTGGGGTAGTCTAAACAAAGTACTGTAGGCGCTACTACATTTTCTCTCTCTCTTTGCTGCCACTGACGCCTGTACCATGGATTTGCTATGGCCTGAGGCAACAGGAACATGGCAACAGTCTGGTTTAGACACCGAACAATGTTAGCTTTTATTTGAATACAACTTTTTATTCAAGTGAAGTATTGCAATTTTTGTCCAGGTTGACATACATATTTTTTTTTTCCATAAAATGAAAATTTGTACGGAAGCTAACTTATTTTTATATCTACAGTACACGGAATAGGGTGTCACAAAAGCAGGGGAAAATATTTAGGGATACTGTGTTGTGTGTACGTTCTATCATCTCCTTATTCCAAGCCTCTGCTCGGCGCAAAATGTATAGTTTCAAACAGAATAACGAGTTCACAGTTGGAATTACCACGTCCTTGGTATCGGCCATGTTAACCAGTTTCTGTTACCTGCTTTCACCCTACACCTATATACAGAGATAGTTCTACTTGGACGTAGGCCGTCAGTGCAACCGTAACTCTTGACTGTCAACTAATTTTCTTGTAATATTGTAACGTGTATAGATAGTAAACGGCTCGATAAATATCTTCTCGCTTAAGCGCACTCAACAATAGGACGAATGTTTATACACTGTTGCTAGGCAACAGTCTCTCGACTAGAGTTATCACTATCTCGCACAGGCTAGTGTTCTCAGCCACGGTCTTCACTACGTTGGGGATTTGTGGTGGACAAAGTGGTGCTGGGGCAGGTTTTCTCCGAGTACTTCGGTTTCCCCTGCCAATCTTCATTCCACCAATTTCTCCACAATCACCCTCGCCTATCATCTGGAGCTGGTACAATAGGCCAGAAGTGGCCGCAGTAAAGGGGACTTAGTCCCACCACACTAGCAATAAAAAAAAGTTCTTTCATTCGTCTTGCATCCAAATATTCCTCTCTTTAATCGTTTCTCAGACACAATCAACGTTCTTCAAATTGCATTCCTTGAAATAAATTAGAATTATATTCAGGATTAACTGAACTGTTGCGACTGGTCATTGCGGCCGCCAAAGCATCCTCAGTCAGAAACAGTAGTCATCTTTCACAGCGCGTGCATTAAAAGTGTGTTTCAATTATTGATATTAAAAATCATCTCCTTTTACAGGGTAAGTCGGAATGAGTCGAACCAGCTTTACTGATGGTGCAGCGGTCGTTGTTACTTGCGGTGTTTCTCTGCACTGCATGTGGCGTGTTGAAGTAAAAACGCAGCGTCGGCAGAAAGGTGTGTTCGAGTGGCACATTGTGTGTTCTGAAGCTGGTGTCTTAAGGTAAGCTACGAAGAGGCAGCTTACATGCATATGTAGATGATGATATTATAATTCAGGAAGACGTGCTATCACTTCATTGCAGTTGACTGCCATTCATAGTGAGGTTAAAGAGTACTCATGTAATCTGGGCGCCATATTCGTTATTACAAATCTCCCAGTGACACCAACCCATCTTATATATCACTGAACTGGGTAGAGTGAACAGGCCAGACTTCCCTGCATTGGCATCCTTACGTATTCTACACCAGTTTATTCGGCACTTTTTACTGTGTCTTATTTCGTGAAGTCAAAGAAATACAAATACTTTGTCAGTGCACGTGAAGTGAATGGGCGGTATCCGGGTCCCAGACGTACAAATATGGAAGAAAAATATTGAAAGGGATGTTAAGTTTAGAGAGGGCTTGGGGAGAGCATTTCTATTTAGTTTTAATGCAAATGCATATTTCTTTCTTGCAACCATAAAGTATGCTCGTGTGGATATATGTATGAATTACTTCATTTCATAAATTTTGGACATGATTTGATGGTGCATATCAATGCATATTTTACCTGTTTTATGAATAAGCATCATATTATCGAAGATCTCTATTTATACTGCATATTTCCTTTTTAAAATGTTTATCATACGTATATATATTTTTTAATTTTATGTACAAATTTTTAATCATGGTCGTGTATACAGTGTTTCTTTTTCGTATTAGAATATGTTGCATATTTGACCCAACGTTTCGTCGTGATTCGTGTTTCTGATGCAGTACCCAGGACGGGACTTCCTCGATCCCTCTACTCGTAACTTGCCTCATCCGTGTACCATGAAAGTGGCCGCGAAAAGATTAGTCGGAAGCGTTCACATGTAGCCGCTATCAACGTAATACTATTCAACCGATAAGGGACTTCACTTATTTATTTCCGAAGTCTCCATGAGGTTCGTTACGCTTCTTCAATTGAAGCTGGGGGCCATTCACATTAGCGGTGACTAGTCTGTAGTTAAGTTTGTTTAGCTTTCTGTAGTCATGCCGAAAGTGAAAGTAAGTCAGAAAACTAAATTACAGCTGTATCAGTGGGAGTGCGAAGGAGAGATGATAAGTACGGATAACGAAATTCTTTATTTCTAATAATAGTTTCTCAGTTTTCCTTTGATTTATGCGAAGCCTTTTTAGCGACAGATATTCCGCTGTGGAAACTAACCAGTCCTACTCTGAGAAATTTAACAGAGAAGTATACCCAGTGCAAAGTGCCGGATGAATCTACTGTGCGCAAAAATTACGTGAAGCAGTGTTACGATCTTACAATTGAAAGCATTAGAGATAAGATTCAAGATAATTTTATGTGGGTATCAATCGACGAAACACAAGGTTGTGAGGGACGGTTTAATGCAAATTGTATAGTTGGATTCCTTAATAAGAATGAACAATCTACCCCATATCTTCTTGCGGTAGAGCAATTTGAAACCACAAATAGCTCCGCAGTTTCCGAATTTTTTGTCAATTCCATGAATTTACTATGGCCGAATGGCATTCAGTATGAGCGCGTATTGCTCTTTGTGACTGATGCCGCAAGTTATATGATGAAAGCCGTTCCTGCTCTTAAAGTTATATTTCCAAATATGACACATTTGACTTGCCTTGCCCATGGGTTGCAGAAACAATTCGTGCAAATTTTCTGCTTGTTGACAAGTTGGTGTCTTCTGTGAAGGTATTTGTTAAAGCGCCATACAGAAAAGAAGCCTTCAAAGCAGTAGCACCGAGCGTTCCACTTCCGCCAGAACCAATTTTAGCGCGCTGGGGCACGTGGCTGTGTGCAGGGAGTGATTATACCGAACATTTAGAAACAGTTATGAATGTCGTGAATACATTTGATCCCAAAAGTGCAGCATCAATTCAAATTGCCCAAGATGTACTAAAAAACGCAGAACTACAAACTAATCTTTCCTATATATCTGCTCACTTCTCTCATGTTCCATCCGCCATTTCCTCACTGGACGCAAGCAATAGCAATACTACTTTGTATCAGTCGTTAAGTGTGTTCAAAACCACTGTTTCCAAATTGAATTCGGTTCCTGGAAGAGTCGGTGAAGAAGTAAAAGAAAAAGTACACAGCATTCTTTAAAAAATCCAGGATATGAAGAAATTTGTGAACCTAAAGAAATTTTAGCCGGTAAACGTACTGATCTGCGAAGTAAAAAATCACTAACAGTGGAGCAAATAGTGGCTTTTGTACATGTGCCCCTAAGTTCCTGTGAGGTGGAAAGAAGTTTTTCCCGCTATAAGGACATCTTACGGGACAATATGAGGCGACTAACTATGGAAAACCTAAAATATTTAGTAACTCTGAACTGCAAAATAAGAGAAGTTGAAAGTTCGGAGAGCTAAATGTGAGTTCTATTGGTTTTTTTAAATTTGTAATGAAATATGTTGGCTTTGTTGCATGATTCGATTTTAAGTATAGCTTTTTATTGCAAGTGAATCAATCAGTGATTATATAAAATGAACTTAAATATTGATTTGGGGGTCTTAAAATAATGTAAAATAAATTTTAATATTTGGTATAAATTTTATGTGCATATTTCGGAAGTTTTTCATCCATAAATGGAAGCTTATTTAAGGGATTATTAGGGCATAAAAATCCGGTTCCTAGTAATGAGGTACAGGATGATGTAAAAGCTAAGGAATGAAAAGAAGGTAATGCTATCCCTGTAACAATCCTTGAAGGTCCATAGGGTTGTGAGACGTCGACGCTCACATATTTTCATAGACAATCGGTTGACAGATGGGGGTGAGATCAGCTTTACTTTCGGCCGCTCTTTACCCCCAGGAAGATTCCTGGTACTCATTTTGTAAGCGGCTGAGCTAATCCCAAGGCCGTACCGCGGCTGGAAGGATTAGGTCAATTGAAAAATGCAATTGCCTCATCGGGAATCGAACCCGTGTCTTTTGGGCTTGTAGCAAAGTAAAATTAATTAAGCCAGTGAGAATTTAGTGCGTGTGTATAACATGGGGCATATGCGGCGTGTGGCACGCAACATAAGGTCACGTGTTGGGTATGTCACGCGACAAATAACTTCACGTGGGTCTCGGATTTAGCGAATCTCTACTGGACACTCACTCTTACAATTATTATCACTTGGCTTCTGGCCAAACACTCAATGCGACGTCTCAGCTATCCTTGGCCGTGGTCGGATCTCAGCTGTTTCTGGCGGCGGCTACCCCAAGACTGTCTCGTCCTCAGTAGTCCAATACCCTGTATGTGACGTAAGCTCTGCTTATACAGGGGCTATGCGGACTGGATACCGGACACTATTCCTCACGGTTCCGTGACCGCTGTTCAGCCAGTCCGTTGTTACGGGAACGTTCCTTATAGAATGCACCGGTAACGTGTTTCGTCTCATCCGTTGTTACTCAACGACAATTCGTTGCTACGATTTGTCGCTGCGGGAACTCCACAATTTCCACGTATTCGTTGCCATGGAAGTGTCCGTTCCGACTGTAGCTGTTGTCGCGGCGATGGACGTAAGGTAACGCGTCACAATAATTTGGGCCGAAACCTTAAAGAAAGAAGCGATCCCCTTTAGGGACTTGCGTCTTGTGGGTATGGTGACAGAAAGTCAAATGGATTCAGGTTGATCAGAAAATCTAACGTCAGCCGCGAAAAGTAATCCAGAAAGATAATAGCGTCTGATTACGAGCTCTTGAGCACCATTTAACGACCTTCTGGGATCTATAACAGCGAGGACTCTCTTGACCAGCTAAGAGAATAGCAGTTTCTGAAGAAGACACTCTTCTACGCCAGTACCTTGCTAGAAAACTAAGGGTCTAAACTGTTTATGAGTCTGAGATATCCAGGCCCATGTACAAATTTATTGAGGAGAGATCTTTGAGATAATTTAAAAAATATTAATATTAAAGCTCCAATTTTGTATATGTAAGTAGGAAATACTGACTTTCTATATCGTGAAAACTACGGAAATAATTGGTGCGAAGATATTACAAATCCTATGTTATATGTGATTGACCTTGATTACGTTGCCATTAAAATTAAAATGAAGAGACAGTTATGCCGCTCAGTATTCTGTCTGGTAAACGAATGGGTTCGATAAACTTTTGGATTGCTAGCTTGCGTATCGCCGTGTTACTGAAGGTGCCACCTGTGGGGATTCATTTGAAACGGTCTCCATAAGCTGCCGTAACTTAATCCAAATCCACTCCAGATGTAATCGCCGTTTTGATTCTTGATACTCAACAGAAGGGCCTAGGTGTCTGGAGGTAGAGTCTTCGTATTGTCATATGAGGGACTGATTATAAGAGGGCTCTTTAGATTGGATACTGATTCATTGAACACTTGTACGCACAATTTGGAACTACAAGCAATTACAGCACCATCCTTAATCTCCACTATTCACAAATCACCACAGCACCCGCTAAGTCTTTTCCAGTCTGCTTTGTCTCCACCATCCGTCCATTGACAACGGATTTAAGAATGGAGATTCTTCAGCTTTACGAGGTGAAGTCCTCCCTGAACGGTGGCTCCCTTCCAACTTCCTCTTTTCTTCACAGACTCCCCTACAGAACTGACTACAGACTAGCCTTACTTCGGTTTTCCTCATAACACTTTTGCGCGGACCGAGTAGAAAACACTGTTTTCAGCTATTCCTCTATTATTGCATGCTTATCCGTTACAGCGGGAACGTGTTTATCGAGCCGTTCCCTAGCAGCGGCAATATATTCTTGTCCACTAAAATATGTTGCTTTTTTTTTCCTTGGCACTACAGCCCCAGTGGGCCTAGGCCTACCTGCATGAACTCCGTTTACTTCGGTTTTTCTAGATCTTACACATTCGGTAGGACTCCTTGGGCGGGTGATCAGCTCGTCGCAAGGCCTCTAGCTGTAGACAAACACAGAAAAACGTACACAAACATCCATGCCCTGAGTGGGATTCGAACCCACGATCCCGGTTTCCGAGCGAGCGAAGACAGTGCATG